TCTTCGTTCCTCGTGAAAATACATTCTATCAGATACGAGGGAGAAAGGGTAAAGTTAGTTTGAGCATTTATGACTACAAGCATAATGGAAAGTTTATACAAGCATATGATACAAACGGTAAGCGTGTTTCATTAGCTTTGTCAAAACTTACAGGTATAAACTATGACAGTGATTTTGACCTATATGAAGAAGAAAGTGAGTCAGAAGATTATGAGCTGTTATATGAAGCACAGCAATGGGAGGGGTTGCAATACTTTTGTAAGTGAGAACGTTTATTTTTACATTAGTGAAGTCGTTTGTGAAAACATTAGTGAATTCGTTAGTGAAGTTGTTAGTGTTGTAAAATATACGTTAACGGTTTTGTAAAGTGTCAAATTCACATATAATGGGTAAGGAGACGCGCAGTGCCGCCGTACCCCTGATATGTATACTAACTTTAGAATATGATAATGCACATTGTAGGGTTGTTAAAAATATCAAAAATTAGCGTTTTGAAGACACCATGGTGTCTTATAATTTTCCCTTCCTTATTGGCGTGTAGAAATAAATGCGCCAATAGATTGAAGAAGAAGAATTGTTTTTCTCTTAATGAACTTTAAGCAAAACGGCTGTTTCAGTCATTAATTCTTAAAAATAAAAAGGGTAAAAACTAAATACAATGGGTAAAATTCAATAGTGTCTGTGCTATCGTTCAATTTGAAGGTGTCTTTTGAAACCGCAAGACGCATTGAATTTTTGAATAGTGTATTATGGTTTGACAGACACCAATGAAAAAAATAAAATGATATTTATTTTAAATATATAAGATCCTTATATAAAATATAAATATTTTATCATTTTATTTTCTTGTTTTAGAAATGTTTTTTATTGAAAAATCAATAAAACTAACTCCAAAATAAAATTTTTGATTTAAAGACACTATGATGACACCAGGCAAATCTTCCAAGACACCTATCGTCGGGAATCTAACAACCCTAGCACATTGTAACAGAATAGAACAATCACCAAATTTTTTTTGAAATTAAAAAATAAAAGTAAAAAGTATAAAGTAATCTAACCAAAAAAGATATTTAAAAGAATTTTGGAAAAAACAGAATAAGGATAATGATATTATTTTAGATACACAATCGATGTACTGAAGAATAATCCGGTAAAATGATGATATAAAATTAGATTAGTTTACAAGTAGCTAAAAGAATAAAACTATAATATAAAATAAATGAAGTTTAATGAAACAATAAAGGTTAAATAAATAATAAAGATTTTTATTTTATATCAGTATTGAGAAGAAGTAACAGCTGACACTTGGTAGACAACTTCTTTATGTCTAGAAAATTCTATCTTGCCTTTTATTTTTTTCTCGCTGTGAAACGTATTCGGTCATTTTTTTAAAAATTAATTTTTTGTTAGAGATAAGAGCTAAAACTCGGTAAACAACTTCTTTATGTCTAGAAAATTCTATCTTGCCTTTTATTTTTTTCTCGCTGTGAAACGTATTCGGTCATTTTTTTAAAAATTAATTTTTTGTTAGAGATAAGAGCTAAAACTTTGCAGACAACTCCCCCATGTCTAGCAAATTTAACATTCATCTCCCATTTTTATATATTTGGTTTAGAATGTTCGAAAATGCGTAATATGGTCATAAATATTAATTGAAAAGAACCTTGAATTAATTCAATCTGATCTCACAAAATATTTTAAATTACAAACTTTGTAGTTTGAATAGATAATTAGTATTAAACTCAAATAACTAGTTTATTTTTGAATAAAAATTATTTGAATTTATTCAATTTTGTGAATTTTCCTTCAAAAATCAAGTTTAAATATCTTATTTGCCATATAATTATAAATACAACGAAACATATTCGAAATTGAAAAGAATGACTTTTTCTGTTCTTTCAATCATTCAATTTGAATTTTGCAATATTGGATTTCTCATTAAATAGCTATTAAAAACAACAACCAATTTAACTTACATTCAAATTTATTTGTGTTATATTCAATCTTCTCAAAACTTATAATTTTCGGCTATAGCATGATTATATGCTATATAATATAATAAACCTATAATAGTATCATTCTTTCAATTATTTGAAGAGAAAACCGAAAAAAATCTATTTTCGGTCTATAACAAGTTTTGCAAAAACTCATTGAAAATATGAAATTTGAATGAGAAGTTAACCAAAAAATATGAGTAATAGTATTTAATATCTACAATAAATATAAATCTTTAACTCAATAAATTGTTATTTTTCTGAAGTTTACTTTTTGAAAAGATTAGAATTATATATAAGATGATCCATATTCAACAATTATTTATATTTCACCAAGAAAATATACGTAATATTTTTGAATGATGATTCTGTAGTTTTAAATTTTAATGGAATTATATGGATTTACTTAACATTTTAGACAATATAATTTTCAATTATATCAAAGGCTCTCAAAAATATATTATGCAATTCTGAAAATTATCATGTAAATTGTGAATTATTTCAAAATAAGATGCATTTAGTTCAGTCCAATTATTTGATATTTGTATTTATCCATGGCATCGCAGTAACTTCCATTAATTGAAAATTGAATGGAATTAAATGTTTTCACAAATATATTTTTTCAAAGGTAAATAATATGATAGATAATAGAGGGACGTTTGGCCAAGCAAATGTGTTTGGCTTGAGCACGCATGGTTTTAAGCTGCCCCGCAACTCATTGCAGCCAGTGAAATCAGAATTATTACCCACTGTCAAAAAACTTCAACCTGGAGGAAAATACGTCCGTCCGTACTTTAATCTCAGAGCTCAGTCTATCCTTCTTACCCAATTCAATGAAGCTCTTGAAAAGCCTATCAAAGAAGAAACTCCTGAAGAATTCGAACAGAGGAAAACCATTCAAAAGTTCATTAGAATGCTACTTAATGCTCATTTAGGATCTATTCTAGAGGTTTCTTATCAAGTTACAACTGAACTCACAAGTTTTTTATCCAAAAATCAGATTTTCCCTTCAATTTCTAGGGCCGCTTCGATATTATTAAAAGCAGCTCTATCCATCAGAAAGATTTCCAACTACCTTGATGCCAAAACCAAAGAAGATAACGAGATCATTCCTTGTCATAGTGAAAACGACATGAACGAAATACTTTTGAAGAATCCAGCAAAGGACAATTGCATCATTTGTAGGATATGCAATGAATTAGTTCAAAGTGACGACATCGAAAATCACATGATTTACTGTGTCAAAGGTTATAAAAGTGAAGAATGCAGAAACAGGATATACAATGAGATCAAATGCTTCATTAACGAGGTAGATAATAAGCTTTTACACATTCCATGGCCTGCTTCTCAAAATGAGATGATCGACCACTATCTTCCACTTCTACATGCCTCAGCAACCCTTAAGCATATTCTAGAATTAAATCTCACCGATCAAAACTCAAAAGAAGAATTATCCAGAAGAAAACTTGCGTTAAAGCGCATTCATTGTGACAAGCCTGCACTAGAAATAGTTAAGAGAGCCATCTTTTTGGTTAAGGAATGCGTAAGAGTAAACAACGCCATTAAAATTGCCATGAACGGATTAAAAGCAACTCGCGCTTCAAGAAAGGGATCGATTACATCTAACTCAAAGATAACGATTGCTGACTTCGAATTCGTCAAAAGGATTTCCAGTGGCGCATTTGCAACGGTTTTTATCGCCAAAAAGAAACTTACAGGCGACATCTACGCGATCAAGGCTATTCCAAAGACAGTCTTCCAACAGAAAAACCAGACAAGCAGAATTCTCAAAGAACGTGATATTCTCCTCGAAATTTCAAACCCTTACGTTGTCACTTTTTATTACAGTATTATTAGTGACAAAAATCTTTATTTAGTTACAGAATTTGTACCTGGAGGAGATCTGTATTCAGTTCTCCAAATGTTTGGCGCTTTTGACGAAGAATCTGCGAAAATATATTTATATCAAATCCTCCAAGCACTCAAATACATACACGGTAACGGTATTATCCACAGAGATCTCAAGCCAGATAATATCCTCGTCACAGCTGAAGGAACCCTCAAACTGACAGATTTTGGATTATCATCTCAAGGTTGTGTCAATCGTCAGGTCAACCAGGAGATAGAGGAAGCAGATACATGCGAAATTGTTGGCACGTTGGACTACATGGCTCCAGAAGTTTTGTTGAATCAGCCACATACTTTTGCTGTTGACTTTTGGTCGCTCGGCTGCATGCTCTTCGAGTTCCTTACAGGTGTCCCTCCTTTCCATGCCGAAACAGAAGAAGAAACAACTCAGAATATTCTGACATCGAAAGTTGAGTTCTACGAAGAAGACGAAATCACAAACGAGGCACGCGATCTCATTATCAGGCTTCTCGAGCCAAATCCAGAAAAGAGACTCGGTTCAAAGTCAATTGACGAAATTTTCAACCACCCGTGGTTGAAGAACGTTGACACGTCCGATCCACCTTTCGTTCCACAGAGATTGGATGCTACGGATACAAGATTCTTCGAGGAACGTTACAGATTAAGTCCAGTAGAAGATAAAGACATTCTACACGATATGGAGCTCGCAAAAGAAGGAAAATGCTCCAATGATAGACTTGATTTGGCCGGTTTTCAAACACTCAGCGTTGAAAACTTGATGGAGCAAAATCTTTCTGAAGTAAGGAAGATTAAGAAAGCTAACTCAACTCCAAATGATTCTCCACTTCTCTTGAAGGAAGTGGTACCTTTCCCAGATGAATCAATTATACAATCGGATTAATGAAATTTGTTTTGTCATTATCCTTTAGTTAATGTTGTAAAAATTACTTTTTGCGGAAACGTTGTCGCTTTGAAATAAGTTTTTGAAATGGAATTTTTAATATTTTTTTAATTTCATTAAAACTCATGCTTTTATATGGAATGTTTGTAATTACTAGTTGATGGGTATTGTATTTATTGTATTTAAATTGTTGAAGCTCTTTGATAATATCAAATATATCTACTGAAATCGATTTAAATTGGAAATTATACTGAACTTAAGTATATATTATGTAGTATTAATCAAGAGATTACTATCCTTCGAGTGAATCATGTGAGACAGTATTAGTTCGTCACCGGAAAAAATCTCGATGATATAAAATTTTTGTATATAATTTTTTTTCAATAGTTTACGTGACAAAATCGTGTTTGATTGCCTTTAGAAAATTTTACCAATTTTTCGAAATGTCAATTACAGCTAAAGTTGTACTTGTAGGTGATTCAAGAGTCGGAAAAACAAGCATACTTCATCGTATTACAACTGGTGACTCGAATTTTCGATCCATTAAGCCTACAATCTCAGGAAATTCCGAAAGAATTCCAATTGAGGTAGATGGAAAAAAGGTAACTCTTGACATTTGGGATACGGCTGGAACTGAAGCTTATCAGAGCCTTGCTCCAATGTTTGCAAGAAATGCTCAAGTTTGTTTATGCGTATTTGATTTGAACGATCAAGCTTCATTTGATAGTATTCCTGGATGGATCCAAATGATGGAAGCGAGTGAAGACATACCATATTACTATATTATTGGAAATAAATCAGATCTCGAAACGAAAATTCCTCAAGAACAACTCGATACCTACATCAATCATTCTAGTTACAGATATTACCAAGTCTCGGCTTTAACAGGATATCAAATTGATGTTTTATTCGATGATATCGCAAGGGATGTTTCCCAGAATGAAGCTGCAACTGCGCAAAAGGAAAATATTAATTTAGAAAGTCAGCCAGAACAAAATCAAAAGGGTTGCTGTTAAATTATAAAATATGTGATTTAATTTACCCAGATTTTCCTTACTTTTACCACTTCCCATGTAATTTCTGGGGAAAACGATAATTCATTTTTTTTATGGATGAATAGATCGTTTTCCTAGAAAGGACCTCATATCTCTGGCTAAAAAGAGTGTCAGATCCTAAATAGGTTATTGATCTAGTGTACAAATCCAATAAAAAGCCTATTTTTTTGGCTTTTTTGGTGCTCATTTTTTCGAAGATCTACATGAATATGGGGAAACCATCGGATTTTTTTGGTTAACCCACATCTTCATGTAGTCTGGACTATCTTTCCTCGAAGGACCTCTTTACGGGTGTAAAAACTCATAAAGTTCTCAAAAGATTCATTCTCGATCTCCATGCTGAAAGAATTTACAATAAAAAAGAGATCTACACATCAAACTACAGCCATAAATGAACTGAACCCCTAAAGCTCAGCTCTTAGTTTATCAAAAACGTCGAAATCCTTCTCATTGCAATCAAATTTTCTCAATAACTCATAAGAAAAATCGAATTTTGATTAAGCCGATGTTATAGGTATCACAAATACTACAAACTTGAGCAATATCGAAATTGCCAGCAAAAGTTTGAAATTGCATTGCTCATATTTGTTTTGTAAACTAAAAATCTGCTTATATTATTCATTAATTTTATATATTATTCATATACTTTAATAAACAATACTATTTCACCTTAAAAATGAATTTCATAAGTCATATTATTTTTTTTGAAAATGTATCAATTTTCGATTAAAACAACATGAGAATAAAATTTACGCAAAATTATTTTAAAAAATGGTTTTAAAAATTTCCAATTGATTAAGAATAAGATTGCAAGAAGTTTTGAAGTTTAATTTTAAGAAAAAAAATTCGGATATTATTCATGGATCTAAGTAATCTGATATTTGAGTATCGGCACTATGCATAAAACATATATTTATAGTTTTTTTTGGAGTTTTATGATTTTAAATATATTCAAATTTGGCAATCCAATAGATTTTTTAAAAAATAGGTAAATCAAAATAGATTACATATGCAGCAGATTTAGAACATGAAACAAATCTTATAGTGACCCAAAAAAAAATTCATGATCCAAAAAAGAAAGTAAATTGGTTAAATGGGAATCAAACCTTGGCATAATGAATCATTATGTCGGATGTTTACACTACACTAAACCGGCAGTTCGAAAAATACCCTTGGTGGTTCTATTTAATAGCTACTCCCAACGATAGGCGGTGTCCCCAGCTTTAGAGAGGTGGTAAAAGTAAGGAAAATCTGGGTAATTCATTTTTTATTCGAAAGCCATATTACTTATTAAATTATATGTAAAAACTATATTCTATTAAATAGCTATACTGTATAGATGCATATTTGGGAATGAAATCACATAAATCTCAAGTCAATCAAAGAGATAATCTCTCATAAATTGTTGATATTAAGGATTTCATGATATTGTGCATGTCTACAATTTCCCTGATGACTGCGAATCCAAGAAAGGCATTTGAAGAATGACTGAAATCACCCAAAAATGATATATATATTAATGCATATAGTTTAGCGTGTCAAAAAGGAAATATCACATGATAAAGAATCAATGACTAATTGGGAATGTTCATCGCTTATTTTAGTTAAATATCTAATCTCGGTTGGAGGTGAAATCGAAATAAAGAATTTAGATTAGTTCGCTCCACTCATTTGTACATCATTTAATGAAATATGTAAAGATGTTCAGCATATTATATTTCTGTGGGAATTCATATAGAAACAAGAAACTAAAAAGGAGAATTTAGCTCTCATAAGAATATATTTCAGCTTAAAAGTTAAGAAATCTATTTGATTCAAGCATACTGCCTTTTTAAATCAACCTATTTCTTGAAGTATATATTTTAAGGTGGCAGGAAACCTCTTTGGCATCTCAATTTCTGATTAAGTTGTCTCTGATCTGATACTATATTTAGAAAACACATTAATAATAATCTATAACATTTTTATTGTGATTCTCTAACCCTTGATTTGAACGGGTTAATAAGGAGGTTTTTCCCCTTATGTTTTGGGTAAAAATGTCGCCTATTTTATAATTTGAAATATTGATGTGCTTTATGTGATTAAAATCAATCCAACATTATATGATGAAAAAGAAAACATAAGAGTTTATTTAATATATTCTACAGCAAGCATTTTGTTATTTCCTGTGGTTGATATGCGGGACCAATTGATAGTTGCTGGAACTTAGTAATAAAAAACATATTATGAAACTATTAAATACTTAATTTTTTATTATGATGTTTTAACTTATATAGTTGATTCAATGATTTGTAATAACACTGAATGAATCATAATTTGGAGTGAGCTTTTTTGTCAAAATTACTTGAATAAACTTAGTAGTATATGAGTGCGGGTTGTGTGACTTTTTTTGTTGCATCTATATATAGACGATGCATTAAAATATATTTATTTATAAATCATTAAAAAAATTAACATTAATTTTAAAATAATTTATTTTTTTATCTTTTATAAAAGAAGCTATATATAGATGATGTCAGATATTCCGCGATTAATTAAACATTGTTTAAATCCTGAATGGGTTAAACTTCAATTTAAAAATGAAGATTGTGAATTATTAAATGAATATGAAAGCCAAAATAAGCTAATGAGGTATAAATATAATGATAAAGAATATTTAATTTCATGGAATCAATGGAGTCATAATCAAAGACCTCATAAACGAGAAGAAGAAATTGAAAATAATGAAATGGAAATCATTGATGACATTAAAGAGGATGGAATTCCTAAATTTTGTAGAAAAACCTTTAGAACTAAGTTAGGAGCATATAAACGTAGAGTATTAAATCCTGAATATCTTAAACATCAATTTAAAAAGGAAGACTGTGAATTATTAAACGTTAATGAATATGAAAATGCTAAATCAAAACTGAGATATAAATATATTGGAAGTGATGAAAGGTGTAAAGATAAAGATAAAGTTTATTCAGTTTCATATAATAACTGGCACACGTTGGGGATAAGAAAACATTTAGGAGATTATGGTAAAAGTTCTGAATTCTTCAAATCTAGTATGTATGAGAGAGTAAAAGAAATCAGATATAATTATCATTCATGAATGAAAAATAAACTTTAAAAATTCATGTCTTACATTTTTTGAATAATTTATTTTTTTAATTCGTATGAAAATGAGTGTCAAGACTAACGACGTTAAAAAATTGGGATTCACAAACGAGGAAATAAAGGATATATTAGAGGAGGCGAGTTATGAAGTTAATAAATATTATTTAAGAAATTGTCAAAAATTCGCGGAGTTATTAAATGATTTAGATTATGATGGAAAAATGAATAAAGATGATGTTATAAATTTCTTATATCCCACATCTGAAGAAGAAAAACCTAAAGAACCTGATGTTTTCCCTGAATATTATGAAGAACGGATTAAAGATGATGAATATGATGAAATTGAAAGACTGGAAAAAATAAGAGATGAAATAGATGAAAAAATTAAGGAATTAAGAGAAGTTGAAAAATATAATGAGAATGAAGTAGAGGGTTTAATGAATATCCCAGCTTCAGAATCAGAAGTTCAAAATCTCATGAAGAAAGATATAAAAATTACTTTTTGGAATCTACTAAAAATTTATTAGATGGTGAAATAGATGAAACACTTTCAGAAGAAGGCACAAAATTTATTCATAAACATAAGTTACAATTTATTGACGATGGAGATTATCCATGTATATTACTTTCACCTCCTCTTGATTCTGAAAAATTCAAAAAAGCACTGAAAAATGTAACATATGCAACAAATACGATTAAGAAAGAAGACCATGATATTTACACAAATTATTATTTAAATAAATGTACAGGTGTTGATAAAGTTTTTGATTTGTTAGATAAAATATCAAAAGAAACAATTGGTACATATAAAATTTTATGCGATTGTGGTTTCATTATTGAAGATACTAATAATGTTTCATATGAAAGAACAGCACCGAAGGAAGACGAAGTTGAAAGGTCTATACCATTCGTTATTAAGAACATAAAAGATATGAAAACTTATAAACATTATATTTATTCATTTATTTCAGAAAAAATGGAAGCAACCCATAAAACATCATCTCATCATTTTATAGCTATTCATACATTCCTTTTCAAAGTTGTGAAATTAAATAAGACAGGAATTAGATTTAATGTATCAGGGTACGCATTCTTGAGTAAATTAAAATGTATTCGTCACGTCGCAGATGATAAAAATTTATGTGTTCTTAATTCATTTTATGGACTTTAGCCCTGGACTTTAAAAAAAATAAACTTTATTTTTATTTATTTTTTAATTTTTATTCTTACATAAATGAACAAAAACGGAACAGCTAAAATGAATGATAATCAAATAAGAGCGAAGGTAGAAGGTTATTTAAACGCTTCTATAACATTCCTGATGGTGTTAATCCTAAAACTCGTAGAAGTTATTTAAATGAAGCCATAGATGCATATGAAGGATTTGACATTTCATCAGAAAGTGAGAGGTTAGCAAGAATGTTAAACGTTAATATTGATTTTTATTATTGTGACCCTCAACCAGAAGACGTAGACATAAATAAGGTAGACTTTCCATTAGTGGAATCAATAATGATAGATCCAGAATTTGAAACAGTAAATATTTTATTAACACAGAGTCCATGTGGAAAACTTCACGCTGACAGAATTACAGACGTTGAAGCACTCACAGGATATAAAGTTTGCCCCTTTTGCAAAGAAGAAGTATATTCTATCCGTGATGACCCAGAAAGGAAAAACCAAAGAAGATTTTTAAAACATTGTGAGAAATGTAAAGAAAATAATGGAAGATTAATTCAAGACGTTCAATTGCAAAACACACAACAACCATATGCACCACATATCACGAAACAGAAGATATATCAATGGCTATTAGCTCACAATTTGCAGGAATATTATAAACCAACAAGATATTATAT